TCAATTTGCACTATTTCTGGCAGTCTGCAACCCCCCACAGTCTCAAAGGTGCTGCAAGATCCCTTTGCAGAATGTTTTATTATAGTTACTGTTTTCTTTTCTGTATTTATCTCTCTTTCTTCCTCAGATTCAGGCCTCACGGCGGTTTCCAAAATAAAACAAGTAACCCACTGTCGCTCCCTGCTCCCAGTGGATCCTTTCCTGTCGCCCCTTGGGGTGCCCAGTGAAGATGCGGAGTCCAGCTGGATGAAGGCTCTGGGCCACATTTGGGAACTCGAGGCTGAACTGAGGGAGGACTCCAAATTCTCTGCTTCTACGGGAAGCTGAAACAAGGAAACTAAAGGCCTAAGCAGACTGCCAGAAATAGTGCACATTAAATTGAGGCACTGCCCTGGCTCAGTGCTAGGGAATCATGGGAATTGCATTTTTTTCTGAGACATTGAGCCTTCTCTGTCAGAGAGCTCTGGTGCTACAATAAATTACCTAGCACTGAGCCAGGGCAGTGCCTCAATTTAACGTGCACTATTTCTGGCAGTCTGCTTAGGCCCTAACAGTGATTCCCAAACTCTGGCCTCCCAGATGTTTTGGACTTGACTTCCCAGAATCCCAACCCACTGGCCAAGATGGCTGAAGCTTCTGGGAGCTGAGGTTCAAAACATTTGGAAGGCCAGAGTTTGGGCCTGGGGCATCCCAGTTGGCCTTCCTCTCTCCCTCTCCATCTTTTGGTCACTTCAGGTCCTACTTCGTCCGGCAAAGAGAATCAAAGAGAAGCGGAGGAGGATGGGAAGAGAGAGAGGAAGAGCAGGGTGATCACACGTGGTCCTCCTTTTCCAGGCCCCAACCTCCATTTCAGCCTTCTGTCCAGGAAGAATTCAAAAAAAGTCCTTTATTTGGAGCAGGATTTACATGCGTAGGAGTGTTTCCACTTTTATTCGGTCCTTTTGTTGTCGTTGTGTCCCTTCAAGTCAATTCCAGTCTATGGTGACCCTAAGGCAAACTGATCATGGGGGTTTTCTTGGCAGAGAAGGTTCATCATGGCATCCTCTGAGGCTGAGAGAGTGTGACTCACCCAAGGTAACAAAATGGTTTTCCATAACCAAAACCCTGGTCTCCAGAGTCATATAGTCCAGCACTCAAACCACTACGCCACACTGGCTCCCACTTATTTGCCGTCCATTATTTTTCTGGACTGTGCTACATTTTTGATGCCTTGTCCTCCTTTGCGGTGAGGAAGAGAGCGACCACTCGGAGGAGGGACGGAGGGGCGGGGAGGGGGCTCACCAACACAGGCTGCGATCGCCGTCTGGTGGCTACGCCAAAACCCCGACATCCCGCAACCCGTCCCAGGCTCGGCCTCCTCCCTCTGTTTCCACGGAGGGCCCCCC